ATGGAATAGAGAAATGGCATGTCATGTGAACTGAATTAAAACAAATTATTTTAAATACATTATTTAATCAATGTCTCATTGTTGGGTACTTATACAACCCCAAATTATGGTTACTCAGGCTTTATAGCTAGTTAACATCTCAATAATGGGAAGCTGAATAAATTAAAGGCCTCAAGAAGAATGGTTTCAACTTTGGAAATGCTAAACAAGATTTCCTTCTGTTAAAAAACAACAACCAAAAAATAACCAACCGAGCAACATATCTGTGTGTATCCAGAAGTCTAAGAATGCTGACCTCTGATTTCTTGATTTAACATTTATTTACTCATTAGGAGTTGGCACATGAAGAAAGTTCAAGGGTGGATGTATGCTGAGCTATAAACTCCATACGATTGGCACATGTGTGCTGTCAGATCAATAGAGAGAGCTGGAGGTGCTGTGAGATGCTTTAAACATTGACTTGCACCTTTCTGTGACAGCCTTCATTCTTGCAGGTCTGGGTGAGGCCTGAGATGTGTGGATTTCTTGATTCACAGTCCAGCCAAGAACAGATCCTTCCATTAGCAGCACTACTGTATTGGTTAACCTCCTCTACCCCTTTTCCCATCCTCACTTTTGCTCTTTGACTTTGAGTGTAGTGTTTTAAACTCTTAAACTATCCTATTTTGACAAATACTTACCCTAAATGATAGGTGGTGTGATTATTGGTGGACTCATCTTGCAGCACTGTTTGCTTTTCCATTTTCCTCCCCAAAGCCTCTCACCTTGATCTCTAGGTTCAACTGTCTACCTCCTTCAGAGCTATAGATTTCTATTTTATTTGTAAAATTCCATAGTTAAAAAAATATATTTGGTAAAATGAAATGTATGAATTAAAATATGGTTCATAATCCCACCACCCATGGTTTATGCCACAGTTGAAATTTGGGTAGATTTCCTTTGGTGGATGTATAATCAATTTTTACTTATTTACTTATTTTTGAGATGGAGTCTCACTCTGTTGCCCAGGCTGTAGTGCAATGGCACAATCTCGGCTCACTGCAGTCTTCACCTCCTGGGTTCAAGTGATTCTCCTGCCTCAGCCTTTCTGGTAGCTGGTATTACAGGTGCATGCCCCCATGCCTGGCTAATTTTTTGTATTTTTAGTAGAAATGGGGTTTCACCATGTTAGCCAGACTGGTCTGGACCTCCTGATCTCAGGTGATTTGTCCGCCTCAGCTTCCCAAAATGCTGGGAATATAGGCAGGAGCCACTGCACCCAGACAATAATCAATTTTTTAAAATCAGAATTACATTAGAGAGGTGATGTTTTCTATGTGGCCTAGTCTCACATTCTGGTGCAGTGATTTACTTTGCTATATAACCTTGAGTGAGTCACTCAAACTCTCTGTGCTTCTGTTTCCCCACCTTTAAAGTGGATAGTAATAGTACCTAGCCCCAAGATTATTAGAAAGCATAAATGAGTTATACTTGGACAGCACTTAGAATAGTGGCAAAAATATCATAACTACTCAAAAAAAGTTAATGAACATTGATGTCTTTAGTATATGAATATAATTTTGTCATCTGCTCTTAAAAAATACATTCCGGGGCAGGCAAGGTGGCTCATGCCTGTAATCTCAGCACTTTGGGAGGCCGAGGTGGATGGATTGCTTGAACCCAGGAGTTTGAGACCAGGCTGGGCAACTGAGCTAAACCTCATCTCTACAAAAATACAAAAAATTGGCCTGGCATGGTGGCATGAGCCTGTAGTCTCAGCTACCCGGGAGACTGAGGTGAGAGGATCACCTGAGCCCTGGAGGTTGAGGCTGCATTGCGCTGTGATCATGCCACTGCACTCCAGCCTGGGTAACAGAGGAGACCCTGTCTCAAAACAAAAACATTGTGCATATTTTCTCATGTTATTCATGACTAACACATGACTTCATTGCTTGACCCAGGTCATTACATGATTTATCATAGTTTATTTAATCAGTGTTCCTTTGCTGGATATTTATTGTTTTCAATGTTTTGCATAGTAATAAAGAACCCTGTAGTAAGTGTTTTTAGGCATAAATCTTTGAACATATCTCTGATTATGTCCTAGGACCAGCTCCTAAGTAGAATGTTGAATCAAAAGGTATCAGTCCTTTTTAGGATTTTGTCATATTGCCCTCCAGAAATGTCATGTGAATTTGTGCTCCTAACATGTAAGACTGCTGTTTCCCTATAGCTGTCCTGGCACTGGGTATTATGATTTTAAAAGTTTCTTGCCAGGCTGTTGTTTTCATAGTCAGATGGTACTATTTTCCAAAGCTTCTTAGGTGTTCATTTTCTTTTCTTTCTTTTTTTAAAAAATAATTTGTATTATTTTTATTTTAATAGAAACAGGGTCTCACTATGTTGCCCAGGCTGGTCTTGAACTCCTGGGCTCAAGCAATTCTCCTGCCTCTGCTTCCCAAAGTGTGGGATTACAGGCGTGAGCCACTGTACTCGGTGTGTTCATTTTCTTTAATTCCAAGTCCCTTTTGAGTTGCTTCCCCTCTTTTTTAATCTACTATGTCCTTTAATCTTAAACTCCAGCCATGTACTCTTCCATACGTTTTCTTTTCTCTGATTTCTTCACACTATTTCCCTCTGCTCATGTGTAGTTAGACTACATATTCTGTTTTGTACAGATATGAGCTATAAATTTAGAAGATGGATACCACAGGAAGATAGTAACTTCTTTTTTTCATTTAGCCCAAATATAACCAAAAATGAAACTGACCCCAAACTGACTCATCTACTTTATAAACTAATAAGATCTCTGTTACCTGAAGTATTTAGCCTTATAGACAAGCATCTGAAAATGATGGGAGGTATTTTTACTCTGGGCAGTAAGTTAGCCTATATATCACTCAGTGTCCAACCAGGAAAATAGAAAGTAAGTATTTAAACACAGAAGGAATTGAATTTAGGGAATTGGTTGTACAGGTGATTGGAGAGCTCAGAAGCCAAACAGATGGTGGTGGGGAGCGAGGCAACATTGAGATTAGTAACATCAGAAAGCTAGCGCCACACTTAGGCTAGAAGGACAGAGGGAGGAGCTGGTGGGGTCATCTGGAGGAGTCGGGGGTCATAGTGGGCCTGTCTGTTGAGAGCTGGATCACAGAGGTAATGCAGATGCTTCTTTTCACTTGACGCAGAGTGGGAAGGGAGAAATACTGTGGTCTTCCTCTTTTTCTCCCTCTCCAATCTCTTCCCAGTGTCTCCCATTGGCAAATTCAATCAGAAGCCAGTGGACACAGATGTTTATGGAATTGTATGTAGCCTGTGGTCAACCTGCCTGTGACGCAGAGCAGAGCAGGGGAAGGGAACAGAGGGGATCTGAGAAAAACAGTCCACGACCAGGTACAATGACCATTGGAGTCCCTTAGAGTCCACAAAACACAGGACAGTGCAAAGTGTGCAGGCCCTGGTGAGGTAGGCAGTCCTGGATTTGAATCCTGGCTCTGTCCTTTAGTAGCTCTCTGGCCTTGGGCAAATCACTTACCTACCCTGAGCTTTGGTTTCTTCATCTATGAAAGGAGGCAAGAAAAACTGTATCGCACAGGGTCACTGTAAGGTTTAAATAAAATAATATTTAGCTATAGTGCGACAGTCAACATTCAACAATTGGTTTTCTTTTATTCAAGAATGTATTATTTTTAAGACAAAGAACATTGGATATTTGGCCAAGGTCATCAAGCTTCTCTATTTTGAAAGATGAAAAGAGGGCAGAGGAGTCTTTTCTTTTGGAAGCTCTGCCTGGCATGGGGGTAGGTGATAAACTGTCCAATAGTGATTCTGGGAGATGATCTTAGAAAAATTGAAAATATCATGCATGACCAAGTCATCCATTCCACAAACATTTGCAGATACTCATACTTTCTGGAAATGATTTAGACATGGTCTCCACCTTGGAAGAAATGTTAATCCATCAGGAATGACAGAGTCAACAAGATAAATCTCAGTGCATGATGGTATGGGAATGTTTGCAGAGGAGGGAGCCATGGGCTATCTCTGCCTAGGGGAGTGGGAGAAGGCTTCAGTGAGGAGGTGGTATTTAAGTTGTGTTTTGAAGGATGGGTGGGAGCTTGTCAGCTGTAGAAGTGTTTGCAAAAATGAAGAGTCACAAAAGGGCACAGGTGTTAAGGAATGATGAGCTAATCACATGGGTGGGGCCTTATGGCATCAGTGGTTGAAGTGGTATAGGAACAGGCAGGAGATGTAGCTAGACATGGAGAGAAAGCCAGTGTGTGAAGAGCCTGATGTAAGAAGGTAATGACTTTATTTTGTGGGGAATAAGAAGTCAGGAGAGACTTTTAGATTAGGGAGTCACCCACCACTTCTAACCTAGAATTTTACTAAGTGACACATCTTCCCAGACTATCTTATGGCCTTAGTCAAAGGGCTGATGCATGCAATTCTATAAAGCAGGGGCCAGGTGCACATCTCACAAGACATTAGGAAGTATGAATCAGAAAAATGAGCACAGGCATTTTCCCTTAATATTATATTCAGGATGGAAAAAGTCATTAACTTATCCTGCAGACGCTGAAGGGCTCAAGGTAAATATTTAAAATGTTCTCCCTCTTATTTCCACAGAGCCAAGAACATCAGAGGTGGGATGATGATGCTTGTGGCTACGAGACAGGATTTCAAGGATCCTGATGAAACGTCTGCTGGCCTGAATCTGTCTGAATGCTGAAAAGGACTTTGTGTTACTCTAACTAAAAGGAAAACACAAAATGATGATAATATAGCCCTTTATGCTTTTCAGAACCCTTTCACATACTTGATTTTATTTAAGCTTTGTGACAATGGTGTGCAGCAGATAGGGCTAAGAGCACAGTCAGTCTCATTTTAGAGATGAAGAAATGGAGGTCTGAGAGTTTCATGCCTTCCCCAAGGTCCAAGAAGATATTCCCACAGCTGCAACTGGGTTTGTAGACATGCTGCCAACACCTTCCCCAAACCCAAGGGAGTGCTCTACCTACCTGTTGCCTTCCATATGCCAGGATGGCTTCTTTGAGGTCTTGAAGTGTGCACAGTTCAAGATCCAGCTTCCTCCAGTGACCTTTGGGGCTGTAGGGCCCTTTTCCCCTCTCTTTGTGTGTCCATGCCGGAATGGCTAAACCTTCTGAGTAGAGGATCAGGGCACCCTTTCTAGTGCTGAAAGTTTTAGGGAGAAAGAGGCTCCAGGAGTGCTGGTTGGCATTGTCCTCATCTTGAGGTTTGCTGGCAAGAACATAGTCTTCTGGGGACTTCCAGTTCAAGTAATCCTGCAATGAAAAGCAGCCGTCTTGACAGGGCCACTGTGGAAGATCTTTCTACAGCAAGTACTGCTGGTGGAAGGCTGGCGTGCTGGTTCACACCTGTAATCCTAGCACTTTGGGAGGCCGAGGCAGGCAGATCACCTGAAGTCAAGAGTTCAAGACCAGCCTGACCAACATGGAGAAACCCTGTCTCTACTAAAAATACAAAATTAGCCAGTGTGGTGGCACATTCCTGTAATCCCAGCTGCTCAGGAGACTGAGGCAGGAGAATTGCTTAAACCCAGGAGGTGGAGGTTGTGGTGTGCCAAGATTGTGCCACTGCACTCCAGTCTGGGCAACAAGAGTGAAACTCTGCCTCAAAAAAAAAAAAAAAAAAAAAAAGAAGAAGAAAAGAAACTATTTTTCTACCAGAAGAAATATTGCTGGTGGAAAGCCTCTGGCATTTTTTTAGTTACTGATTTTCTCTGAATTGTTCCCATGGTGTTATGGAACGCAATTGCTCTTCTTAGCAACTGCCTTTTCTCTCCACATTTCAAAATTAGTAGAACCCAGAGCATGGTTCTATTTCACTCCATCCAACTTTCAGGAGAGTCATTTATGGCTGGAGGATTAACTCAGCTGGAGTTTAGGTTACAGGCCAGTTAAAGTTTCCTGGTATGCAAGTAAGCAGTCAGAATTATTAAGGGCAGCAGATAACTTTGAAATTAGACCTGGACTAGCTGGCAGTTTAAATAGGAGCATTCGAAGCCCCCACCACTTCATCTGTACACAGGGAGAATTTCTATGCATTCCAGATGCTATGTAACATTACCTAATTTGGCTATTTAGGGGCCTATAAAGGGGTTACATATCTTGGAGGTAAGAAAATGCCACTGCCCATACAGGTCCTTTGAAACTTAATATGCCTTTTAACACAGCAAAGGCCAAATACATGACCAACTACTATGACAATGGAAATCTCTGTATGACCCCCAAATTTGCAAAGTATCCCCAATAGATTTTTTATTCCTGGCAGGAATAAGAAATAAATTCCAGTACAACAAGGGAATTTTGCCACCTCTTTAAAATCTTCTAACATGAGATTTTTTTTGGCCTATATTAAATATGAGTCCTGTGGGTTGAATTCCAGAAAGTTCAAGGAAGCCATTGAAATAGCACGAACACACACAGCATTTTAACCACAGAGCATGACTTCCAAAAACCAAACAACCATCAGCTTGCCTAGAACCCAGGTGTAAATTCTGGTCTTGCACCAAACCATCCAAATTCCAGATTCCAGAGACTCTGGAATTCCTTTGGTCCAAGCAAAGGCAGATACAAGGAGAAAGACAAGGGTCCCAGTGGCAATCTTAGTGTGTCAGGAAAACGACATTATTTTCTTGACTTTCATGGAGGAGGAAGGAAGATCTTCCAGTGACCCCCGCCACCTCACGAACAACACACACCAAGACACACATGGTTTACCTCCCAAGTGGAAAAATAGAGCATTCCTCTCCCACCCCCAAAATGTGCCTTTCTTCAGCTGTGAGACTCACCTCTGGTTCAAAGTAGACTTCTAACTTCTGTTTGTCCTGGCCCAGCTTCCCGTGGCCCCGGCTCAGGAGGGAGAGCGTGAACATGTTAAACTCTGACCACCCCTTCTCAAGGGCAGTTCATCTTGGTTTTAAAGGCTGAAATCTGGTCACACCTCAAGATTTCCAGAGCTCACAGCAAGCCCAAGAAGACCACAAACACTGGACCTTTTATGAAATACATTTTTCCTTCTCGCAGCAGCTTCTTAACAACCAGCCACACAGATTAGACACTGCGTGTCTTTGTGGAGCAAAAAAATAAACCACATAGCCAGACTCCTCAAGCCCTGGATTTTCTACACTCTGGGCAACCTGTCTCTTCCTTCACCTGAGCTCTTGTTGTCCCTGGGTCCCAGTTGCTCTGTTACCAGCCCTGTGCATCTACGAATCTCGGCCACAGCACCATCCTGCTCCTCTGAGCGGAGGTTGTTTCCTGGTTGCTATGGCAGCACAGGGAAATGAAGTCCCTTAGACTAACTCAGGCAAGGCAGAGACGGGTGCCGGGTGCAGTGTGCATTCGCCGGGGATGGGGGTGGGGGTCAAATGGACACTGAAGGGACCAGGCTCAGGTTGCAAGTCCCGGTTGCAGGGGGTGGGGGCCGTGTTGGGGTACTTTTTCTGTTATTGTTCTCATCTTGCTTTTAGAGAGCATCTTCCCCTCTCTCCTGATATGTGAGCCTCTTGCTGTCAACTAACCATTAACAGCGCCAGGGTGTCATCTAGGTCACCTGAAACCACCTGTGACTTTTTCCTTGCTGAGAGCTCCAGCATCCCCAGGATGGGGAGGTTTGACCTGCTCCGTTTCCGACCTGGGCCGGTTCACCCCTCCTTAGGCAACCTGGTGGCCCCCAGCTCCGGGGAGGTCACCATATTGATGCCGAACTTAGTGCGGACACCCGATCGGCATAGCGCACTGCAGCCCAGAACTCCTGGGCTCAAGCGATCCTCCAGCCTCAGACTCCCGAGTGGCTGGGACTACAGGCACGCGCCACCGCGCCAGGCGCTCAGGTCTCTTTGACAGTGACATTGTGACGAGCACAGGACAGGAGGGAAGAGGTTCAGGAAACAAAAAGACTCCTTTGCTGGGGATCTAGGGACCTGCTCAAGCCTGGGCAAGCAAGCTGCCTTTCAGCGTTCAGCCTAACTACCCTGGCCGTCTTGTGGAAGTGCCCCCTGCTGGCCACTGTGAAGAAGCACAACGGGCTACCAGCCCACTTAGCTTTTTGATCTTCCTACGTGGCACCTTCCACTCCCCCTCCGACCTTCCCCACTTCCAACCAAGCTCAAGTCTCCTGAGAAGGAAATAGAGGTTATGTTGTAAAATAAGAAAGGGTTTATTATGGGGAATCAAGACAGTGAATGAGTGAATGCAGAGGCTCCAAACTGAATATAATCAAAACCACAATGAGATACCACTTCACACCTACTAAGATGGCTGTTATTAAAAACAAAACAAAAGAAACAAAAACAAAACAGAAAATAACAAGTATTGGTGAGGAATATGGGGAAATCGAAAACCTTGTGCATTGCTGTTGGAAATGCAAAATGACATAGACTCTGTAGAAAATGGTATGGCAGTTTCTAAGAAAATTAAACAGAATTACTGTACCATCCAGTAATTCCACTTCTGGGTCTATGTACCCGAAGGAAGTGAAAGCAGGGTCTCAAAGGGATATTTGTATACTCATATATAGAGCAAAATTGTTTATAAGTGCCAAAAGGTGGAAGTAACCCATGTCTATTGACAGATGAATGAATCAAAAAAATGTAGCAGATGGATACAGGGCAGTATTATTCAGCCTTAAAAAGGAAGGAAATTCAGACACAGGCTACAACATGCATAAACTTTGAAGACATTACACTAAACAAAATAAACCAATCATGAAACAACAAACATTGTACAATTTCACTTGTGCGAGGTACTTATGTGAGTGGTCAGATTCGTAGAGACAGAAAGTAGGTGGTGATTGCCAGGGCTGGCGGGGATACGAGAATGGAACATCCGTGTGTAATGGGCACAGAAGTTCTGTATGAGGAGATGAAAAGTTTCTGGAGATGGATTCACAACAATATGAATGTTCTTAACGTCAGTGAACCGTAAACTTAAAAATGTTAAAATGGTAAATTTGAGCCAGTGCAGGTGGCACACACCTATAATCCCAGCTATTCTGGAGGCTGAGGCAGGAAGATCCCTTGGGCTCAGGAGTTTGTGATCAGCCTGACCATCATTGTGAGACTTCATCTCTAAATTGAAAGTAAATTTATATTACATATATTTTACCACAATTAAAACTTTTTTCGGCTGGTTGTGGTGGCTCACACCTGGAATCCCAGCACTTTGGGAGGCCAAGGCAGGCAGATCACTTGAGGTCAGGAGTTCAAGACCATCCTGCCCAACATGGTGAAACTTTGTCTCTATTAAAAACACAAAAATTAACCAGGTGTGATGGCATGCACCTGTAACCTCAACTGCTTGGGAGGCTGAGGCACAATAATTGCTTGAACCTGGGAGGCGGAGTTTGCAGCGAGCCGAGATGGCGCCGCTACACTCCGGCCTGGGCAATAGAATGAGACTCGGTCTCAAAAAAACACGTTTTTAAAAAATATTGTACAGCAAAAAAGAAAAAAGAAAACACTGAATTCAGCACTTCATAATCTGAAAGCCGATTGGTCAGCATTATCATGGAGTGACCTTCTCACGGCAGGTGAGACAAAATTTGAGAAACCCAGGGTTCCAAATAGTTTCTGGGGTCTTAGCCTCCAGTTGCTCCCTCCCTTCCCCTTCCCTATCCCTTTGAAGTGCAAAAAGGGCCCTTAAACAAAACTTTGTCCAGAGATTACTATATCCCAGACATGATCCCTGGACTCAAGGTGGTGCTGATACCTGAAATATGATGTGATAGTTGCGTTAATGGAGGTCGAGTGAAGTAGGTGCTCTAGGAAGAGAGGTGAAGGTGTGTGCATGGGGGAGGTGGGGAATGGATGGTGGCAGGCACTGTGGAAGGCCACCAAGATGAGGAAGCTTAGAGGTGGGTTTTGGAAAACAGCAGTTTGCTAAGAAGATGTGAGAAGATGGTGAGGAGGGAAGATCAAAGAGGATATTGCGGGAGGCAGGGACGAGGAAGTTTGAGGTCTCTGGGGAAGAGGTAACTTCTCTGTTGTGATCAAAACTGCAAGTCAGCTGGGAGCAGTGGCTCACACCTATAATCCCAGCACTTTGGGAGGCTGAGGCGGATGGATTACCTGAGGTCAGGAGTTCGAGACTAGCCTGGCCAACATGGTGAGACCCCCCCCCCACCATCTCTATTAAAAATACCAAATTAGCTGGTTATGGTGGTGCATGCCTGTAACCCCAGCTACTCAGGAGGCAAGGCTGGAGAATTGCTTGAGCCTAGGAGGCAGAAGTTGCAGTGAGCTGAGATTGTGCCATTGCATTCCAGCCTGGGCGACAAAAGTGAAACTTCATCTCAAAACAAAAACAAAAACAAAAAAACTGGGCTCACTGTGGTAGCTCATGCCTGTAATCCCAGCACTTTGGGAGGCCAGGGTGGGCGGATCACAAGGGCAGGAGTTTGAGACCAGCCTGGCCAATATGGTGAAACCCCGTTTCTACTAAAAATACAAAAATTAGCCAGCTGTGATGGTGGGTGCCTGTAGTCCCTGCAACTCGGGAGGCTGAGGCAGGAGCATCACTTGAACTTGGGAGGCGGAGGTTGTAGTGAGCCGAGATTGTGCCATTGCTCTCTAGCCTGGGCGACAGAGACTCCGTCTTGAAAGAAAGCAAAGAAAAAAGCAAAACTGCATGTGGACGGAGGTGCAAGGGCAGAGGTCAGCTGGCCAAGGCCATGAGGGCTGCATGCACCCTGCTGAAGCATTTTGGATTTTATTCTTCAGGTAGGTTTTTTGTTGTGGTTTTGTTTTGTTTTTTAGAGGCAGGGTCTCACTATGTTGCCCAGGATGGTTTCAAACTTCTGGTCTCAAACGGTCCTCTTGCCTCAGCTTCCCAAATAGAAACCACATGAAACAGAAAATAGACGCTAGTTAATGGCCACTTCCCTGGCACATTCAGGAATGCATCCCTTGTTTCAAAGTGCTTGGAGTGAATGAATGTCACTCTGGAGAAGCGGCCTATGTGATACTGTCAGAACATTTATCCCTCTTTAAAGGGGAGTGTAATAGTGTTTTCTAGTATTGTATTCATCTTTAGGGGAAATCTATAAGGAGACTCCTTGGTGTTGCCCTTGTTACCTTGGGATTACAGGTGTGAGTCATTTACGTCCCCAGGTAGGTTATTAAAAGTGCTGGAGGTGGGAGGTGGGGGGGGATATGATTCCATCTGGGTTTTAGAAAGATAACTCTGAGGCACTTACAAAGGATGAATAGAAGGAGGAATCCTTATCTCATCAACCTCTGGGTGAACTTTCAAGACTTGCGACCCAGGCCAGTCTTCTCTTGGGTATGAATGAACTTGTCAAATAGGTCAGGAAAATCACCAGCTAGGTGGTCTTTGAGTAAGACAGAAGGGGAAACTCTATACCAGCTGCAAAGAAAGATAAATCTTGCCATTTTGAAAATGCCATTGCTCAAGCAAGAGAAATGTAGCACCAGAGGAACTTAATGGAGCTCTTGGGACCTGAATGAGAACCACTATCGTTAGCTGAGGGATGATTCTAAGTTTCTCCAGTGGAAATTCTTTCTCTGAACTCACCTGACTTTGAAATGCTAACTGATCCATACATAGTGAACCAGGGCCCCAAGACGTGCTCTTTCTGGGTCTAGGTTGGGAGAGCATCTCACCTAGGAAAATGCCTAGGCGTCCATCTGGCCCTCCCAAGGCTGTGACAAGGCTTCCAGGTCTCTGTGGGGCTGCCACAGGAATCTGTAAGCAGCCAGACCGCAGCCGAAAGTGGGCCTCTCCTAAACCAGTGTGTTTACATCTATGCTGTTTAATATGGACAATGAACAGATCCACAGATCAATTAATAGTCATTTAAAAGCATTTACTCAGTCCTGACAACAGTTTATAGAAAGTGCATTTAGAAAGCAATCCGGGTTATTGCTATTCT